TGTTTACAGCCCCTCCCCGCACTCCCATTACTGCCTGAGCTCCGCCTCCTGTCAGACCAGCGGCGGCATTAGATTCCCATAAGAGTGTAAACCCCGTTGTGAACTACGCATGGGAGGGAACTAGGTTGTGCGTTCCTTATGGGGATCGCACCACTTAGGTGCCTGATGACGCCTGATGCCTGATGATCTGTCACTGTCTCCCATCATCCCCAGATGGGACCGTCTAGTTGCAGGAAAACTCACCCACTGATTCTATGTTATGGTGACTTGTATAATTATTTCATTATATATTACATTGTAATAAGAATAGAAATAAAGTGCACAATAAACACAATGTACTTGAATCTTCCCCGAAATTATCCACCCAACAGTCGGTGGAAAAATTGTCTTCCAATGAAACTGGTTCCTGGTGCCAAAAAGGTTGAGGACCGCTGATACAAGGAAATATATTCCTAGAGTTTGCATTTGGGATACATGAAGAAAGTATATATGCCTTTTTTAAAAAACAGCTTTATTGAGATATCATTCATGCACTATGTAATTCACTCATTTAACGTGTAGAAGTCAATGATTTTTACTATATTGGCAAAATTGTACAACCAGTTTAAGAATATTTTCATCACCCCCCAAAAAAACGCTACTCATTAGCAGTCACTCTCCATTACCCACCCTCCTCCCCACTAAAAGTGATCTCTTATGACTGGCTTCTTTCACTTAGCAAAATGTTTTCAAGTTTCATCCGTATTGTAGAATTTATCAGTGCTTTATTCCTTTTTTTTTGGTTTTTTGAGACCGGGTCTCACTCTGTCACCCAGGCTGGAGTGCAGTGGTGTAATCATGGCTCACTACAGCCTCGACCTCCCTGGCTCAAGCAATCCTTCCACCTCAGCCTCCCAAGTAGCTAGGACTATAGGGCTGTGCCACCGCACCCAACTGATTTATATATTTTTAGTAGAGGTGGGTTTTTGCCATGTTGCCCAGGCTGGTCTGGAACTCCTGGGCTCAAGGGATCCTCCCACCTCAGCCTCCGAAAGTGCTGGGATTACAGGCGTGAGCCA